CTTGTTAGATAAGGTTCTGAAGCTTAGCTTTGGCTTTTTTTGAGCTGCCATCAGAGCATTTGAGAAAGGCTAGGAGAATCTGCACAGTTTGTGGTGTGTGGTGTTATACTGGCAGCATCACACTCATATGATGTTTGCACCACAGCAAATGCTTTACAGAATATCAACTGATTATATCTTCTAGTTTGTTTCCTTGCTTCATCTTTAAGTTGCTTTTTGTAGTTCTGGGGTCTTCGGAACTCAAAATGTGGAACTGAACTATCAGACTGGTACAAAATTTGAATATAGTTTGCAGAAAATATGATTGAAATCACAACATTAGTAACAAAATTTCCAACTATTATACATTTGGTAGTTTTCCTTAAGTAAAAGTAAAATTCCTTTTCTTTACCGAAAGCATAACCTGGGGATCTCCTGGATCCACTAAGAAGTGATGAATTTGCGCAAAGGTCAGCTGGTATGTCAATCTTAGATAGGAAAATTCAGTTCCCTATTTAGGATGGAAAGAGCTGGAGACATCCCCCACCCCACAGGACCCTTGCCTCCTGTGAGAAAAGTCATGATACATCATGCATGCGAGCAATAGATCTCTCTTCTGACAGTTGCAGAACTTGAAAGCAGTGATTTGAGGAGGGGTGATAGACGCTGCCGGATTGGCCTTCCCCAGTATAGCACATATCTGTTCTTCCAGCGTGCAGCACACAGCTCGTTACAGTGCTGTGCAGAACGATTTCTCCGCATGGCCAGGTGATGTTTAAGGAGACTAATGAGAAGAATGATACAGCCCAGAACACTGGTGTCAGGAAATATATTGCAAGGTGTCTATCTTGGGAAAGCTGAAAGCAGGGCTTGTCTTACTATATCTTTCAAAGGGGATGTCTGTGTCACCACCAAGTTAGACATGCACCCTCTCCCATCCTATGTTCAAATTAGATTTTTTTCAAATAGTAGTTTTCCACTCAATCTTCATTGGCTTAATGATAGGCTCTGTGTTATATGGGGGCAAAACAAGCGTGTGTCACATTGGTGCGCCGTTCTTTTTAAGTGAGAACTTGTTTCGGAGGCCATTGTAATGTAACTATGCAAGTGTCAAAGGACAGGATAGAGGCTATAATGGGCTTCTGCTTTTTGTGAGGAAAATCAAACAAATGTCCCTAATGGAAAAAGGAAGCCAGCAGCTGTATGTGATGACCAGAGAATGTTTTTGTGCAGTGACACTCTCAGAACCTGGTCTGCTGTCAAACTGAAAAAGCTTGATTTTTTTTTTTCTGCTGTCAACTGAAGAGGCGAAAACCCCTGTGAATTTTTATGAGATACCTTTTCCTCATTTCCAGCACTTAACAATCCAATTATATTTGGCTTTATGCTAGTGTTTGCTTCTACTGCCATTGTTAGGTTTTCAGTCAGAGTGATTTTTCCATCCTGATGATGTGGAAGAAAAATATGTTTCATTATGACTGGTTATAACCCTGGAAATCTTTTCTCTCGCTTGGGTTGATGACAATTATTTTATGTTGCATTCAATACTGAAGTGGAGTAGAATGAACCATAAGGAAGAGAAGCTTTGCTAAAATATAGCTTCTTCCACTGTACAGAATTATCTTGAAAAAAGCTTGCATCTTTCTAATTTTATGCTTTTTTTCCCCCACTGCTACTCAAGTAGTTTTTACAAATGAATGTTTTTGTAAGAATTGTTTATGAAGTCATTGCTCTTAGCAACCCCTACTCACCTGTGAACAAATTACATGGCACTGATAAGGTATCTAGTTGTTTCTCAATAGGGTGACCTTATAAACAGATTTTGCAACACAACAAGCTTTTAAATTTCTAACCAAATATATTATGTGAGTAATAAAAAGAGCTCCTCAAAATGGCCACAGAGGCATTTCAGAGCACATTCTTGGGAATATTCACTCGTGCTAGCATTCATTAAGTTTGCTTTCAGCAAAACTCTCATGAATGAATTTTTATTCACTAGTTGTTATGATTATTACTTTATTATCATAGCAATAACCAGATGCTTTGTATAAGGCCAGGATCTGCTTTTGTCTAAGCCTGGAGAAACATCTTATAGGGTCTCCAGAGAGTGTATTGTCTAAGCACAAGTCCAGATTCAGCAAACAGCTTATAACTGGGAACCATAAACCCTCAGAGGGTAATAGGTTTGGTTACAAGAAAATTCACCTCTAGAGAAGGATGAGTGCAGAACCGTACCAAATGTTACACGATTTGAACAATAGTATGTTACTACTCCACTGAATATGAATGTAATTATACATTTTTATGTTATAAAGGGATATTAGGTGATAATGACTAGTCTTATGGATAAAAGGGAATATCTCTACAGTTGCATTTCATTACTATACTGGACTAGTTTATCCACACACTGGTGAACACAATGGAATGAGACTGTTTGGGGTTTTTTACTTTACAAATGGCCTAACCCAAATATACATACCAGGAAAATCACTGAAGCGCAGGCTATCCCAAAGAGCTGTGTGATACATGGACTCCTAGAATGTGAATAAAGCCCTTCCCGGAAAATTCAAATGAGACTCTTATCTATGCAAAGCTGAAGTATGTATGAAGTCTTGTTTCCTCCAGTCTAGGGGAACATAGCAGAGCAGAGCTATCCTATCACGCTGGAGGAGGATGGCTGCAATAGGCCAATTGCCACATTTGGCTTGCTGTATTAGAAATGAGAGACCAAGGAAGCATGACCGATTTGAATATGGAAAATGTGCCTACATCTAGGCACAAGGAAGTTATTTTCAGAGCTGGAGCTCATTCACTGAGCACAATGTGTATAATGCTGCTTTGTGTGCCTTCACTTACTGGGCAAAAGCATGTATCCCATGCCTTGGAGGTGTGCAGTTCGACTGGACAACTGGTAGAGTCCTTCAGCTTGCAGTCACCTGCAATGGCTGTTGTCTGGAGCATTGATTCTCAGGTGCACTACGGTCATGGGTACAAAGTGCACGATGTATATGTGCAGAATGAAGAGGTTCTGTGAGGTGGAGGGAAGGAGCTGTTAAAGAAGCAGCATGCCAATCTCTTGTTTTATTCAAACCTCAAAGTAACCATCCCTCTCTGCCTGTAGATCAGTCAGAACACCTTGTTGGCAGCAGAGCTAAGCACAGGACGCTAAGTATTTCTCCTCTTTTGCTGTCTCACTGCTCTCTTTTCCCATGTCTTATGAAAAAAAATCTTATTAAGTCCTTTGACATTTATAATTAATTAGTCCTTCCTTACTCTTATCTTGTTTGCTTGTCCTTTTCTGTGGCTTTTCCATTTTCTATACCTTATCTCTCAATTATCAGATCCAAGAAATCATTCAAATGATTTCTTTTTAACAAATAAATGCAGCTTTACAGCATTTTTTTTTCTTCTGAAGAAAGACTTGGTCCCTTCTTTTGTCCATTCTACTGCACAAGTTGTCATGTTCTGGCTCCACAGTCACTTCTAAGTCCTTGAGCTATCATGTGTTCTGTTGGTATTTGAGGAATTGAAAATCAATCACATAGCCTTATGGCTTAGGTTCAGCACAATTCTATTATGCCCACTCTGAAAAGTCAATTCCAACATTTTGCGTTATATTTCAAAGCCTAATCAAGCTTTCTGTCCAGATTGTTTTGGAGTCAACTCACTCTTGTACATAGGTCTGTTTATTAGAGTTTTTCTGTCAGAAACTACTGTGAAAGAAAGCAGGTTTCATAACAGCAGAATCATTCAGTGGGCATTCTGCAAAGACAAGCCACCTAAGCAGGCTTTATGGTAGAGGAATGCTTACTGTTGTCATGCATTTCTGCAAATCTGTTTTTAAAAATAATTTTAAAATGCTATGTTGTTACAAACTGCATTTTCTCATAAAAAGATGTACTGAAATCAGTGTCTAGTCCTGTCTTGTTAAGCTGACACAGAAACTGTTGTAGATACAACCCTAAACCTAGACTATGACCTTCATGTCCTGGACCATGTGAACAAATGAGGAAGGTGCTTCCAAGCAGATGGGCCAATTCCTCCAAGCATGAGTTGTGCCACCTCTACTTGCCAGGGGCACAGGGGACTGTGCATTGACTATGTCAATCCACTTCCAGCCAATGCCAGGCACTCATCCTGCGGATGAAAGAAGCTCTGGCATCCTGGGGTGTATTAGAAGGGGTGCGGTTAGTAGGTTGAGAGAGGTTCTCCTCCGCCTCTACTCTGCCCTGGTGAGACCTCATTTGGAATATTATGTTCAGTTCTGGCCCCCTCAGTTCAAGAAGGACAGGGAATTGCTTGAAAGAGTCCAGCGCAGAGCCACAAAGATGATTGAGGGAGTGGAGCATCTCCCTTATGAGGAGCAGCTGAGGGAGCTGGGTCTCTTTAGCTTGGAGAAGAGGAGACTGAGGGGTGACCTCATTAATGTTTATAAATTTATGAAGAGTGAGTGTCAGAAGGAAGGAGCCAGGCTCTTCTCAGTGACAGCCAATGACAGTACAAGGGGCAATGGGTGCAAGCTGGAGCATAGGAGGTTCAATCTGAACATGAGGAAAAGCTTTTTTACTGTAAGGGTTACGGAGCACTGGAACAGGCTGCCCAGAGAGGTTGTGGAGTCTCCTTCTCTGGAGACATTCAAAACCCACCTGGATGTGTTCCTGTGTGACCTAGTCTAGGTGATCCTGCTCTGACAGGGTGGTTGGACTGGGTGATCTTTCGAGGTCCCTTCCAACTCCTAATATTCTGTGATTCTGTGAATCCTCTGTGAAAGTGTGTACCTGTTACGTACTGGGGGCAGGTCAGCCTCATCCCGCTGAGGAGAAAACAGTGACGGGCTGTTAGTGATGGCATTTCCAGTTGATTTATAGAAGTCTCCTTGTTTGGAGAGAGGCTGGTGGCTATTCTGTGGGAGCCAAGTGGGCAGAATAAGTACAGAATAGCTCTCTCCTTCCCTCCCTTATGGGTAAAGGTATTGTTTGGTGACCCATTCTTTGCACTTCTTCTCATCCTGTATTCTACAGAGGCGCAGGGATTTTCTTCAGTGGATACTCGACTCCCGCGACTCAGCTGACTCCCTGGCAACTGGGAGTTTTGATGTGATCAGTCCATCTGCTGCTTCCAGACAGAAGGAAGCACCTCATGCTGGCAGGGCCCCATCCGAAAAGGTTCAGAAAGCATTGACAGAGGATGAGATAGCAGGCCAAGCTTTCCTGTTCCTGATCGCTGGGTATGAGACCACCACCAGCACGCTGTCCTTTGCCACATACTTGCTAGCCACCAACCCAGAGTGCCAAAAGAAATTGCTTCAAGAAGTTGATGAGTTCTCAGCAAAACACGTGAGTACGATGTGCTGGTGTGGAGCTTCGCATAGGGAGCAAGGCAGTGTGAATGTTGTTGTGCCACTGCATCTGCATGGCCCCTATTTGTCTCAGTTATATATGCATATATTAACATTTTCTTAGTATTTTCTGCCAAAAAATCAAAATTAATCTGTATTATCTAGTGTTTTTTTGAAGCTGTCAAATAATGTCACTTTACAGCAACTGAAGAGATGGCCCAGAAAGTTTGTGTCATAGTGAAAGCTTAACCTTTACAAGATATTTTACGTTGTTGAAATAAACCAGCTGTGACCAGACTCTAAAACTACACATTTCTATTTTTTTCTTCTTGTCCAGATACTTTTATTGTTTTTATGGTCAATTTTATTTACTGATCTTTGTAAGGACATAAATAGCATTCTTACAAACCATAAGTTTTGCTTTAAATGCTCATACTTAATTTTTTTTTCTTCAGCAGCAGAATATATGTGTATGCTTCCAAAAAATTCACAGTATTTAATTCTCTTATAACGTGTTCAAATTACTTCTCCCTCACTATCTGTATTTACAAAGGGCATTTATATTTCCTGAATTTCATATATGTGAACTGTATTTCATATAGTTCACAGTATTTCGTGCATCTACCAGATCATGCAGCAGCCATTCTTCCACCTTGCACTCTGCACAAGTTGTTGGTTATAAGAATCCAAACTGAAGGTCTTTTTAGTTTCGTGAACTCTTCTATAATGGATCATGAGGCTAACAGGAGTAAAATGACACCAGGTATGGCTGTCTTGCAGGATTTTAGCTGCAGGATTTGCATGCTGAACTCCTTAACTATGCAATTTCAGGAGTTTCATACTTTTTATGCATTTCAAGTCCTGTGTTGTACTTACAGAACAAGG